TCCTTTCGAAGATCTTCTATCCGAGGAACACCTATAAAAGATCTTCTTTGGAATTACTTCGAAACAACAAATTATTTAAAAATATAAGTTTTCAGTTCCGATAATCCTTGCGTAAAAATTTATAAAAAATAAAACTCGTTTGAATTGCCTATAATCCTGGAAAAACAATCCCTGATACTTCTTTGGAGTACCAACAAATATTGAGTTTTTCACATTTTTGGGATGTTTCAAATCGTTCTTTTTCAGTTTTCAACTGTTGAAGGCCTTCTCTTAATAGAAGGTCTTAGATGGTCTTCTATCTACAGAAGGCATTGCGAAGATCTTCTATTCACGGAACATTCATTAATGGTCTTTTCCATAGAAGATATGCAGAATGAATTATTTGTGATTTTTTTTTCAAATCCAAGATTTTAGTTAAAAAAGAATAATCCTTAGTTGAAGTGCCGATAATCCTTGAAAAAAAATCATTGATACTTCTAGAAAAAATCCTCGATTCGAGTACCAATAATCCTTGACAAAAAATCATGTTTGGTTCATTGAAAAAAAAAAAAAATCACAAAAATCCACTTTCGGTCTATTGAAATACAGGAGGTGATCTCTGCATGGAAGATCCTTAGAGGTCTTCCCTCCATGGAGGATCCGTAGAAGGTTTTCTCTCTATAGAGACCCTTAAAAAGTCTTCTCACAATGGAAGACCTGTTGAACATCTTCCTTTCTATAGGAAAAGGTTCTTTCTATAAGAAACGCTCCCCCTCCTAATTAGAAAATATCATTCCTCGAAATGGACATAAGAAAGCCTCCTTTAGTAGGAGGGAGTTCTTCATATTAGAAAATTCTTTATCCAAAATCTTTCTAAAGAAACATTATTCCTAAAGGAAATAAATCCTTCTACAAGAAAGGGTCCTTTCTATAGGAGTTTTCCCGTAACACGAAAAAATCCAGAGCTTCAAATAAGTATGGACACTTTCCTTAGAAAAGGTAACAGTTCCACCTTTAGATAGATTGAAAAGATTCCTTGAAAGTGAAAGTTTTCATTTCATACCATTGGGCTACCTCTATAAGACCACTTTCTACAAAAGATAGGCTTCCCAATAGAAGGTCGAACAACGCTAAATTGACTTTAAATATCCTGAAACGGGTCTAAAACCGTTGGCCGTATCAAAAGATATGTACCCCTGTTTCCCTTAAGGATGAGGGTATAAAAGGGATATTTCTTTAAGAGTGGGTCCTTTCCTTCCAATTTTATAGAAAGGAGGTTTCCAATAAGAAAGGGTTGTTTCATATAAAGGAGGGTCCTTTTTTACTTAAAACGAGTTAAATGGAATCAGTCAAAATTGCATTTTATATCAACTACTTCCATCACTTTATATGAGATATTTGATAATTTTTCGAACAGTTCGCTTTTTATACCCTCCACCATACTATGGAGGGTATATTAATTTTGTCATTCCGTTTGTAACTCCTCGAAAGAATATATATTCTTGATCAGCGTAAAATTCTAAGACGATTTAGCCATGTCCGTCTGTCTGTCTGTGTGTCTGTCTGTCTGTCTGTCCGTCTGTCTGTCTGTCCGTCTGTCTGTTGTAATCACGCTATCTTTCGAACAAATTGAGATAGAAGGCTAAAATTTTGCACACATGTATTTTTTCCCAGTAGGCAGGTTAAGTTCGTAAATGGGCCATGTAGGTCCAAGTTATCATATAGCCCCCATATAACGGTACCTCCCGATATTCGGTATTTTGATGATTTTAGCGACATTATTCACCGGAATTATTTCAAATTTGGCATTTGAAGTTTGTAATGGATGCTACAGCCTAAGACAGAAAATTATCTGTGCAGGTCCACGTCTTCCTGTAGCCCCCATATAACGGTACCCCCGATATTCGGTTTTTTGATGATTTTAGCGACATTGTTTACCGAAATCGTTTCAAATTTGGTATTTGAAGTTCGTAATGGATACTTCATCCAAAGTCAAAGAATGAGCCATGTAGGTCCACGTCTTCATATAGCCCCCATATAACGGTACCCCCCGATATTCGGTATTTTAATGATTTTAGCGACATTGTTTACCGGAATCGTTTCAAATTTGGTATTTGAAGTTCGTAATGGATACTTCATCCAAAGTCAAAGAATGAACCTGTGACGACCAAAAATCGTGGCACTCAATTTTGCTCACACCTTGCAGTGTTATTTGTTCTTTAATAATAAATAAATATTCTAAAACTCAACTTTCTCATTTGTCTCGGTTAAAAGAAAACAACAAAATACAAGGGGTTACCGTTATTCTCACACATCACAGCCATTGGTTGTGATGATCACAGCCAATGTTGTTGTGACAAGTTGATCAAAACAAGTTCCCGTTATCTCACGCTAGAACACGTGGTTGGGGCTTGCTATAAAAGGGAGATCAACGAGTGAGAAGGGACAGTCAGTGCCGGACAACGACAGAAGACACATCCATCCCAGGTGAGTGATACATTGTATGAATAATTCTAATAGCCGTCCTAGGGTACTTATCCAGGTCCCTATTCCCTTCCGTGTCCTTGCTTGAGTACTTATCCAGGTCTCTTGCAGTATAATCCTTGCCTAAGTAGAATCCTTGCGTATCCTTGAATAAGTAGAATCTTTGCGTATCCTTGCCTAAGTAGAATCTTTGCGTAACCTTGCCTAAGTAGAATCCTTTCGTGTCCTTGCCTGAGTACTTCTTAAGGTCTCTCGCAGTAGAATCCTTACGTATCCTTGCTTGAGTACTTATTAAGGTCTCTCGCAGTAGAATCCTTCCGTGTCCTTGCTTGAGTACTTATCCAGGTCTCTTGCAGTATAATCCTTGCCTAAGTAGAATCCTTGCGGATCCTTGAATAAGTAGAATCTTTGCGTATCCTTGCCTAAGTAGAATCTTTGCGTAACCTTGCCTAAGTAGAATCCTTTCGTGTCCTTGCCTGAGTACTTCTTAAGGTCTCTCGCAGTAGAATCCTTACGTATCCTTGCTTGAGTACTTATTAAGGTCTCTCGCAGTAGAATCCTTACGTATCCTTGCTTGAGTACTTACTAAGGTCTCTTGCCGTAGAATCCTTTCGTATCCTTGCTTGAGTACTTATTAAGGTCTCTTACCGTAGAATCCTTTCGTATCCTTGCTTGAGTACTTATTAAGGTCTCTCGCCGTAGAATCCTTACGTATCCTTGCCTGAGTACTTACTAAGGTCTCTTGCCGTAGAATCCTTTCGTAGCCTTGCTTGAGTACTTATTAAGGTCTCTTGCGGTAGAATCCTTACGTATCCTTGCTTGAGTACTTATTAAGGTCTCTTGCCGTAGAATCCTTACGTATCCTTGCTTGAGTACTTATTAAGGTCTCTTGCTGTAGAATCCCTACGTATCCTTGCTTGAGTACTTATTAAGGTCTCTTGCCGTAGAACCCTTACGTATCCTTGCTTGTACTAGAAGGAGTGATCCATTCAATCCATTCTTCATGCCAGATCTTGTATTAGTAGAAATTTAAAAATGTGCAAAATTTGAAGATAATTGACCCTTTGTGGGGGAGGTACTTGTTGGAGTGCCAATATTGTCCATTTCAGCACCTGACCTAGCACTGGAAAAAATATTGGCATATGCAAAATCGACTAATACTTTCTCTTTTCTCTGAAGTAAAGTACCAGAAGGAGTGGACCGATTTTACCCATCTCCGAACTCGAGCTAATTTTGATAATAACATTACAATGTACCAAGTTTAGACAAAATCGGATACTCCCTTCTAGAGTTGTCGTGCACACCAGACAGACAGGCGGACGGACGGAAGGACGGACGGACATCCCTAGATCGACTCCAAATGTTCTGAGATGGGTCGGCAAACGTTATTTCCATGAGGCACGTTTTGGCTGGGGGTACTATCTGACTATCTGACTATCTGCTCCTTTTCTCCTTTTTATAAGAAAGTAAAACAAGTAAAAAAGCCGGGCCGAACTTTTAATATCTTCCTCCATTTTCCAAGAACTTGAAAGATTTCAAAAAAATTCTATAGAAAACATCTCTCATCCCTTATATGGGGGCTATACGAAGACGTGGTGCTTCATAAATAATTTTTGTCAGAGGCTGTAAGTAACGATTCCGAATTTCAAATACGAAATTTGAAACAATTCCGGTGAATAACGCCGCTAAAATCATCAAAATACCGAATATTGGCTAATACAAAATACCGAACATAGGGAGGAACAGTTATAGCCCCAATGTAAACGTGAACCTATATAGCCTATTTTCAATACCAAAATTCCTACGGATCAAACACACATTTGTGTAAAATTTTATCAACTTAGTTGAATTCGTTCGGAAGCCAGAGGGATTTCCACAGCCATCGCTAAATCGACATAGAATTTTATGCTGATCAAGAACATATATATACTTTGTGGGGTCTAAAATGTATATTTCGTGGTGTTTCAAACGGCATGACAAACTTAATATACCCTCCATACGATGGTGGAGGGTATAAAAGGGTAATTTTATTTCAATAAAAACGGTTCTGGCTTTCAATAAAAAGGATCATTTTATCAGAATTACTCTTTCTATAATAAAATAGATTTTCTCTATCCAAGGGTTCTTTCTATAAGGAGATATTTTTTTTTTAAGAGAAAGTGTCCTTCCTGTGGGAAAGGTTGGTTTCTATTAAATTATTAATTTCACTTCAAATATATCCTTAAAAGCATTCTTTCTTTGAGAGTTCCTTAAATTATCCTCTCTATAAAAAAGGGCTTTTCAAAGAGTTTTTTCAATAAAAAATAGCTACCTTAAAGGACCCTCCCTGTATGTAAAGAAATATAAAATGTGGTCCCTAAATGAGTCCTTTTCATGTATAGGCCTTAGGAGGTAATTTAAGGATTTTTCCCATAAGCAAAATAATTTTTATAAGTATCTGTTATTCCTCAGCCTTTTTAAGCTTTCTTATCCTTTGTTCCGTAGAATTTTTTTGTTGGTTCTTTTAAATTTAAATAAAATATTCAAAATGAACTTACCTGTTATATAAATCAAACTTAAATTGTACAAGGCATTGTAGTTTAAGGGAGATAACCATATGGCTTTACGCAGCGATGAAATTCCCTACAAGAGACAGAGAGAGAGAGAGGGAGAGAGGGAGAGAGCGGAAATTGTAATTATTACAAAATGTTAATAACGACTTGCATATACAAATACAGGGTGAGATAAAAAAACTGCAGCAAAGTTAAACTCCATAATTTTTACCTCTTTTTTTAAATTTTATTGAATGAAAGCAAAAAAAAAAAAAATTCGGAAACAGTATCAAATTTTAGAATAAATTTAGATTTGTTCGAATTGGTGACCTTTGGCACGAAATTTTGGTCTTCAAACGGCCAATGAAACCGTCACACGCTGAATGTTGTTCTTCGATATTTTGGCTCATTCCCGGCGAAGCGCTTGCTTGAGGTGATCGACACTTTGGTACTGTTTAGTGCCAATCTTGCTTTCCAAATCACCATCAAATCACCATCACCATGGTCGGCTTGAGGCTTGAGTTCTGGTGGCCAACCAAAGGTGCACATTTTCAGCTGACCTCTTTGGCAAGTAGACACGATCATTTTATATGTTTACAAACTGCTGGACAACGAATGTTTTCTCATCGGAGAGATAGAGAGCGAGAGAGAAAACCAAATTCGGCAGTTCACCACTTTCGGCCAAGCGGTCTATTTTCTTTCTGCGGCGGTGTAAGTTCTTGCACTTTTTGGAATTTCAATGGCTTTATCCCGAGCTCATTTTTCAATATTTGCCGAATGGAATATTGCGATATGTTTAGCTCACGAGCCATTTTTCGGCCACTGCAATGCGGGTTTCGATCAAGTCGCTTTTTTACTTTTCGAACCATTTCTGCGCTGCCTTAAAGTCGGGCTACGCTACCAGTATCACGATAAGGAGCGATGATATGAGACACAAAAGATTTATTCTCCTTTAAATGCTGGAGTGCTCTAACGATAACCACTTGTGGTTCTGCAGCCAAATCTAAAGAGATCACACTATCACGCTTGAATTCCATCACGAATAACTTTTTTCTGGAAAATTTTCACCAAAATGCTTTGCTGCGCTTGTAAACAATATAATGAGCTGTCACTGGAATAGTTTTAACAGCTGTCGGACGACTGGCTTAGAAATGCCAGCAGTCTGAAGTTGGTTGCAGTTTTTTCATCTCACCCAGTATATGTAGGTGTGTGTGTTTATTCAAGCAACAGATAGCCATTCAAAGATTATTGTGGAATTCCGCCAATAAGTATATTTCGCCAATTGGAAATTCATTGAAGATAAGCCTAACATTTTTCCACACAAAAAAGGCATATCCCCAAAGGACTATCCGACGCCTTGCCCACTCGCTCGCTCCATGGCATGGCTGGCACCTGTGTGTGAAGCTGTTAATATGCATTTCAAATTACCACAATTAATTTCTGCTTCTTGAAAAAACACAATCCAATATTATTCCACAGCTCGGCGATGTTCGGCTGGATGGCAGCGATTTCCTTGTATTTTCCCAAAGCGGCATCGATGTCGTTGCGTGACTGCAAAGTGACAAATAAAAAAGCAAAATCGAAAATATTAAAATAAATAAAAAATCAGATTCAATGTTTATTTCTTCTACGAAACCTCAATGCGTGTGAGTGTGTGTGTTGTGCCATCGAAAGGTCAAAACGATTCCCAAAAAAAAAAAAGCTATCAACATTGAAATTAATCGCCTCTTACCTGCAGTATGGCACCAAATGCCATCAGACCTCTCAGGCAATTCCTGTCGAACTGAATGACCTCCAGCAACCGGTCGAATGCCTTCTGCGTTTCATTCAATTTCAAATAAAGAACTCCAATTTCCGTCAAAACATCGGTGTTTTCAGGTGACAATCTGTTTTTTTTTTTCGAAGGGAAAAGAAATTTAGTGATGAGCCATGGGGTTTCAATATTTATTCAATATTAATATAATTTTATTTTGAAATTGAAAATTGTGTATAATTGGCAGTCTTGTCGTGGCATGTCATATCCACAAAGGACTCGTGAAAATGCAACGAACCATTAAATTAATAAACAAGGATCAGAGCTTCAAAATGAGGAATTTTTAAATTCCAAAAAGGTTTTTTTTTTTTTTTTGTTAAATAGGGTTAAGGCCTGTGGAAGACCTGTAGAAGAACTTCTAAATCCAGAAGACGTGGAGAAGGTTTTCTGGTCATAGATTACCCTATGTAATTTTTTTTATAGAAGACCTGTACTAGTCCATGGAAGATCGGTTAAATCATTTTTAAGATCTTCTGTAACTAGAAGTCCTGTAGAAGAACTTCTATAGCTAGGAAATCTATAGAAAATCTTTTTTATATCCTCCACCATAGTATGGAGGGTATATTAAGTTTGTCATTCGGTTTGTAACACCTCGAAATATACATTTTAGACCCCACAAAGTATATATATTCTTGATCAGCATAAAATTCTATGTCGATTTATCAATGCCCGTCCGTCTGTCCGTCTATCCGTCTGTGGAAATTACTCTAGCTTCCGAACGAAATGAAGTAAGTTGATAAAAATTTACTCAAATGTGTATTATGTCTGCAGGACTTTTGGTATTGAAAATGGGCCATGTAGGTCCACGTCTTCGTATAGCCCCCACATAACGGTACCTCCCGATATTCGGTATTTTTGATGATTTTAGCGACATTACTTGTCGGAATTGTTTCAAATTCGGTATTTGAAGTTCGTGATAGATACTACAGCATTAGACAGAAAATGGGTCATGTAGGTCCAAGTCTTCGTACAGACCGCTTATAACGGTACCTCCCGATATTCGGTATTTTTATGATTTTAGCGACATTATTTGTCGGAATTGTTTTAAATTTGGTATTTGAAGTTCGTAATATATATACATATAGGTCCACGTCTTCGTATAGCCCCCTTATAACTGTACCCCCGAAATTCGGTATTTTTATGATATTAGCGACATTATTTACCGGAATTGTTTCAAATTTCGTATTTGAAGTTCGTAATAGATACTACAGCCTATGCCAGAAAATTGTTTGCGCAGGTCCACGTTTTATAACCCCCGTGGTATTTCCTTATATTCGGCATTTTGATTGTTTTAGCTACATTATAAACAGATTTTTTTCAAGTTTCGCATTTGAATATTATAATAGCTTATGACAAAAGTTGCCTATGCAGGTCCACGTTGTCGTATAGTCCCAAATATACGGCTACAATATTTTTAAGATTTTAACAGAATTTTTAACAGATTTTTTTTTTTAAAGTTCCAAAAATGGAACCAAATGGTGGAGAGAATTCAAAGTTCGGCCCGGCCTTAACTTACAGTTTTTTTAACTTGTTTGTCATAGAATGCCTGCAGAAAGTTTCCTGAATTTTATCCATTTAACTCATTTCGTTCCAAGATTTAATTTTTATTCCCTCAGCCATATGGCTAGAGAGGGTCTCTTAGGACTAAATCCGTTTCAAGACATTTGGAGTCGATCTGGCGATGTCCGTCTGGCCATCTGTCTGTATGGCTGGTGTGCACGATAATTCTCGAAGGGAGTATCCGATTTGGTCCAAACTTGGTACATGTTAATGTTAGTATCAAACTTAAATCGAGTTCGGAGATGGGCAATATCTGGTACCTGCCCCATAAAAGGTCTAAATTTTCAAAAAATATTTTACTGCACAGAAAGAGAAACATTTGTTCTAACTTTGCAAATCTTCACATTTGCATCAGTGCCAGGTAAGGTGCGAAAATGGACAATATCGGTCCACTCCATCAAGTACCTCCTCCACAAAGGGTCAAATTGACTTAGGGTATACATTTGTAGGTAAAAACCGACTGATACTTTTTCACTTTTTGCATGTATGTATACAGAAGTCTTTGCAGGAGGTCGTCTGGTCATATAAGATATGTAGAAAATCTTCTGGCCACAGGAGATCTGTGGAAGGTCTTCTAACCATGGAAGATCTGTAGAAGTTCTTCTGTCACTTGAAGTTCTGTAGAAGAACTGCTATATCTGGGGAATCTATTGAAGATCTTTTTTCGTAGAAGGTCTGTTTTCCGAAGGCAAGTAAAAAAGCTTTGAAAACCCTCCACCATTCGGAAAGATTTAAATTTTTAATTTTAATTTTCAAAAAAAATAAAATCCGTTAAAAATTCTGTTAAAATCTTAAAAATACCGAATGTAGTCGTTATATTAGGGTCTATACGACGACATGGACCTGCATAGGCAACTCATAAGCAATTACAATATTCAAATGCGAAACTTGAAAAAAAAAACAAGTTAAAAAGCAATAAGTTCGGCCGGGCCGAAATTTTAATACCCTCCACCATTTGGAACGATTTTGGCAATTTTCAAAAAAAATAAAATCCGTTAAAAATTCTGTTAAAATCTTAAAAATACCGAATATAGCCGTTATATTTCGGTCTTTACGACGTGGACCTACATATGCTTTGTTTGTCATAAGCCATCGCCATATTCAAATTCGAAACTTGAAATAAACGGTGAATAATGTAGCTAAAATCATTAGAACACCGTATATAGCGAGGTTATATCGGAGCTATATGAAGACCTGGACAATGACAATGACAGACAATGTTCTGTCATAGGCTGTAGCATCCATTACGAACTTCAAATACGACATCTCAAACAATTTCGGTGAGTATTGTACATAAAATCGTCAAAATACCGAATATAGGGAGGTACTGATATACGGGGCCTATACGAAGACGTGGACCTGCACAGACAATCTTCTGTCTTAGGCTGTAGTACCCATTACGAACTTCAAACACCAAATTTGAAACAATTCCGGAGAATAATGTCACTAAAATCATCAAAATACCGAATATCGGGGGTACCGTTATATGGGGGCTTTCTGCTATAGGCTGTGCTACTCATTACGAACTTCAAATACCAAATTTGAAACATTTCCGGTGAATAATGTCGCTTAAATCACCAAAATACCGAATATCGGGATGTACTATTATTTGGGGGCTATAACAAAACGTGGACCTACATCACCCATTTTCAATACCAAAAGTCCTGCAGACATAACATACATTTGAGTAAAATTTTATCAACCTACTTCATTTCGTTCGGAAACTAGAGTGATTTCCACAGATGGTCAGACGGACGGATATCGTTAAATCGACATAGAATTTTATGCTGATCAAGAATATATATACCTTGTGGGGTCTTAAATGTATATTTCGAGGTGTTACAAACGGAATGACAAACTTAATATACCCTCCATACTATGGTGGATTGTATTAAAATCTTCCCCAAAATCTCTACTTACAATAGACACGATTCCAGCACCTCTATTGCCTTGTGATATTGCTTCTCCTTGCGCAGAATTTCCGCCAGGCGCTGAAAACTTTCGATTTTCTTGCCAGTTTGTACAGCTTTCTGGAAATACACTTTGGCTTCTTGTTCCTCCTTCTGGGCCATTTCCCATTCGTTGCGTGAGGCTGCCGAGCGTAGTAGTAGCTCGCCTATAAAGTGGAATATTTCATGATCCAGGCGTGTGGACAATTCTTCGGCGTCGCGAAAGATGGCCAAGGATTGATTGTAGCGGCCCATTGTAAAACTGAAATTAAGGTCAAAAATATGGTTTAGGGTTATGATTAGTGCATTAAAAAAATTAATAAAATATGAAATTCTTCAGAGGTGGAATTTTTCTACGGATTATCTCAGGGGCATACCTGGATTTTCTTTTCAATTACCTCCTGGCCTTTTTAAGAATATTTTCAGGGACTAACAGATCTCCAAACACAGAATAGTTAACAAATATTTTTCAAGGACTTGCTGAACTTTAAATGTAAATTTCGTCAAGGACTATTCCAACTAGAAAAATTGAATTTCAAAAATATTTTTTAAGGACTATTGGTTGGTGGATCTTAAGACCAATTTTTTAAGCACTCTCAAGGTTGTGGAATTTTAAAAACTATCAATTTGTGGATTTCTGAAAACCCTTTTCAAGGACCATCAGTTTTTCAAAATATGGAATACTTTAAACATATTTTTCAAGGACTTGCTGAACATTAAACGTAAATTTCGTCAAGGACTTGATAAATAAAATGGATTATTTAAAGAAAACAATCCTTTATGAAGGACTAATCAGCAAAAAATCAAGGACTATCAGTTCGTGGAATTTTAAAAATATTTTTTCAAAGACTATCAAGGATTATAAATTCGGTTGATTTTTAAAATTTTTTCCCAAAAATTATCGGACCGATTAATTTTTAATATATTACCTCAAGGACTTTCGCTTAATGGAATTCTAAAAATAATGTCTCAAGACCTAACAGTTGGTAAATATTTTCAGATATTTTTCGAGGACCATTAGTCCTTACTAAAGTACTATAAGATATCGAAATACGAATTATTTAAAACATATTTTTCAAGGACTAGTTAAGCCTTAAACGCCAAGAACTATTTAAACTAATGTGATTATTTAAAAAAATATTTCAAGGACTATGAGTTTGAGGATTCTAAGAAGATTTTCCAAGGACTCTCAGTTCTTTGAATTGACCATCAGCTCGTGAATTTCCAATTTCCAAGGACTTTAAATTTTTAGATACTTTTTTTAAAGGATCAAACGTGAATTTAAAAAAAAAAAAAATATTTCAAAGGACCAAAAGTGAATTTTTTAAATCATTTTTTCCGAAGAAAAGGTTGATTTTCAAAAACGTGGATATTCTTAAAGATTTCTTTCAAAGACCAAACGTGGAGTTCTTAAAGAATTTTTTCAAAGGACCAAACGTGGATATCTTAAAGAATTTTTTCGAAGGACTCAACTTGGATTTCTTAAAGAATTTTTTCAAAGGACCCAACTAGGATTACTTAAAGAATTTTTGCGAGGACTTCCGCTCAATGGTATTCTAAAAATAATGTCTCAAGGCCTATCATTTTAGGATATTTCTCGAGGACCATTAGTTCTTGGATTTTTAAGAACCTTCCTCAAGGACTATAAGATATCGAACATACACGAACACATCTTTTCAAGGACTTGTTGAGCTTTAAACACCAAGAACTATTTAAACTAATTTGATTATTTAAAAAAATATTTCAAGGACTATGAGTTTGTGGATTTTAAGAAGATTTTTCAAGGACTCTCAGTTCGTTGAATTAAAAAAATTGTCAAGTATTTTTAAAAATATATTTTAGGACCATCAGTTTGTGAATTTTTAAGGTCTTATTTCAAGGACTTCTAATTTTTATATACCTTTTTAAAGGATCAAACGTGAATTTAAAAAAAAAAAGTTTCAAAGGGCCAAAAGTGGATTCTATAAATCATTTTTGCGAAGGACTAAACTTGAATTGTTTAAAATTTTTTTCAAAGGACAAAACGAGGATTTTTTAATGAATTGTTCCAAGTAAAAAAGGTTGATTTTCAAAAACGTAGATATTCTTAAAATATTTTTTCAAAGGATTAAACGTGGATTTTTTAAAGACTTTTTTCGAAGGACCCAACTTGGATTTCTTAAAGAATGTTTTTTAAAGGACAATATGAAGATTTCTATTTTTTTCGATTTTTTTTAATGAATTCTTTCGAAGGATCTAACGTGGGTTGTTTTAAATAATTTTTTTCGAAGGATCAAAACTGGAGTTAAAGAATTTTTGCAAAGGACGTGAATTTCTTAAATAACATTCGCAAGGATCAAACGTGGATTTCTTAAATGATTTTTCCAAGGATCAAACGTGGATTTCTTAAATAATTTTTCCAAGGATCAAACTTAGATTTCCTCAATAATTCTTTAAAGGATCAAATGTGGATTTCTTAAATAATTTTTCCAAGGATCAAACTTAGATTTCCTCAATAATTCTTCAAAGGATCAAATGTGGATTTCTTAAATAATTTTTCCAAGGATCAAACTTGAATTTCTTAAATAATTTCTTAAATAATTTTTCCAAGGATTAAACGTGGATTTCTTAAATAATTTTTCCAAGGATCAAACTTAGATTTCCTCAATAATTCTTTAAAGGATCAAATGTGGATTTCTTTAATAATTTTTCCAAGGATCAAACTTAGATTTCCTCAATAATTCTTCAAAGGATCAAATGTGGATTTCTTAAATAATTTTTCCAAGGATCAAACTTTAATTTCTTAAATAATTTCTTAAATAATTTTTCCAAGGATTAAACGTGGATTTCTTAAATAATTTTTCAAAGGATCAAACGTGGATTTCTTAAATAATTTTTCAAAGGATCAAACGTGGATTTCTTATATAATTTTTCAAAGGATCAAACGTGGATTTCTTAAATAATTTTTCAAAGGATCAAACGTGGATTTCTTATATAATTTTTCCAAGGATCAAACGTAGATTTCTCAAAGGATTTTTCGAGGATCAAACGTAGATTTCTCAAAGGATTTTTTCGAGGATCAAATGTGGATTTCTTAAAGGATTTTTCCAAGGATCAAACGTGGATTTCTTAAATAATTTTTCCAAGGATCAAACGTGGATTTCTTAAATAATTCTTCCAAGGATCAAACGTGGATTTCTTAAATAATTCTTCCAAGGATCAAACGTGGATTTCTTAAATAATTTTTCCAAGGATCAAATGTGGATTTCTTAAATAATTCTTCCAAGGATCAAACGCGGATTTCTTAAAGAATTTTTTCGAAGGAACCAACTTGGATTTCTTGAAGAATTTTTGCAAAGGACAATATGAAGATTTTTATTTTTTTCGATTTTTTTTTGGAATTCTTTCGAATCATCTGACGTGGATTTTTTGAAAAAGGACGTGGATTTATTTAATAATTTTCCCAAGGAACAAACGTGGATTTCTTAAATAATTTTCCCAAGGAACAAACGTGGATTTCTTAAATAATTTTTCCAAGGATCAAACGTGGATTTCTTAAATAATTTTTCCAAGAATCAAACGTGGATTTCTTAAATAATTTTTCCAAGAATCAAACGTGGATTTCTTAAATGATTTTTTCGAGGATCAAACGTAGATTTCTCAAATAATTTTTCCAAGGATCAAACGTGGATTTTTTGGAGGATCAAACGTGGATTTTTTCGAGGATAAAACGTGGATTTCTCAAAGGATTTTTTGGAGGACCAAACCTAGATTTCTCAAAGGATTTTTTCGAGGACCAAACCTAGATTTCTCAAAGGATTTTTTCGAGGATCAAACGTGGATTTCTCAAATGATTTTTTCAGGAAAGTCAGATCTCTAAATTTCTCTAAGAAAATTCATAAAAAAAAAATAGCTTTCCAAAATTTCAACAATTCTTTCAAAGGGTCAAATGTGGATTTAATGAAGTTTTTCAAACGACAAAACGTGGGCTTTTAAAGATAATTTTCAAAGCGCCTCACGAGGATTTTTAAGGGACGAAAATAAAGTTTTTTTATGAATTTGATTCAAACAACCGATCGTGGACTTTTAAAAAAGTTTTCAAAAGAAATTTTTAAGAAGTTTTTTTCGTTGAATTGAAAAGAAAAATATTTGCCAAGTATTTTTAAAAATATATTCCTAGGACGTAAATTTTTATGGTCCTGTTTCAAGGATTTCCACTAGTTTGAAGCTTTTTAGGAACATTTCTCAAGGACATTCATATTGTGCATTTGATTTTTCAAACATAACCCATACTTACAGTGTCTTCCCGATTTCCTTGTAAATTTCAATGTTTTTATTATTCAAATCCAAGGCCTTTTGTAGGTTACGCAAAGCTTCAATGTTATTGCCCTCCTCACGTTTAATTAGACCCTAGTTGGAAAAAGAAATAGGTGGTTACATAGTTGTGGTTGTTGTATGCAATTCGTCCTACTTACGTTAACAAAGTACAGATATTCAGGATTCAAGTGTCGATACAGCTCACGTTCAATTAATCTCTTGCAGCGTCCAAAATCTCGTCGGGCGAAATAGATGTGCAACAGCCAATCGACATTGGTACCGGCCGACATTGTGGGTACTGGAAAGGAGAAGAAGAAGAAGACGAAACAAAAATCACAACAAATTCCTGTCAATTAACCAAAACTTCTGGAGCAATTAAGTTCCAATGGAGCCATTCCGAGGATGAGAGGGAACGCCCCCAGGCAAAGGAGCCATTTAAAGTTTCTACTTTTTGTTCCAAGCCTTTGGCACTTACTGGTCTTAACAACTTCCAGGGTGGGCAAAACTATTGTACGACCATTACAAATGACTTCATTGACTGGCTCCATTGACTGTTCTGCAGTTTGAAACAAATTGCTTTTTCTTCTTCTTTTTCGACTGCTTCTGCTTCTTAGTTTTTTTTATTTTAATTTGCTTATGGCGAAATGTTCTCCTCTTTTTTTTGTGGCACAAACTTTTTTGGTGTGTTTTTATTCAATTCTTATCGAAGGAAAAACTAAAGTTGAATACTTTTTTTTTTGGGTTGCCCATGGCAACTCAAAGCCATGTATGTATGTGTATACCCCAATCCTTGTGACAGTGACTGACGGTTTTCCTTGTGAGTTGCTGACTGGTCAGTTGCCATGGTGCTCATAACTCACAAACATAATTTTTTTTTTCCAAGTTTATTTTTAATTTCTTTTTTACTTTTGGAAATTTACCACTTTGTTGTTTTAAATTTTTGTGCGGAATTTGAGGTCCTGTTAAAAAGTTTTCTTTTTTTCTTGAAGTATCTGCTTCAGTAACTACTCATACTTGAGATTTGTTTTTATTTTTTTTTTTTTTTGGAAAACTTTAGTACCAAAAATGTTTGGTAATGGGAAAAAGACCAACAACGTTTTCATAGTGGATGAAGCAATATATGACCAGTGCCTTCACCACACCTCAACATATTTGGGTAAAAAAGGGGAACCATTTAAATAGACAGTTTTTGAATAGTTTGAATATCTTTGAGGCAGAGAAATAAATGTTCATATGGCAGGGACATGAACATTGGGATGACAGTAATCTTCCATCCTACTCTAGAGTTTTATTTTATTTTTTTTTATTCGAAAAATTTTCAGAATGTTCAGGACTTCAATGTCAAAGTTCACTTTTTTAAATATTTTTAAAACACCAATTTATTTTCAGATCCTTAAAACCCTTCGTAGGCACATTTCACTTTGCTCTTTATAAAAATAACAAGTAAAAAAGCTTGTAAGTTCGGCCGGATCGAACTTTGAATACCCTCCACCATATGGAACGAATTGAGAAATTCTCAAAAACAATAAAATCCATTAAAACTTCTGCTAAAATCTTAAAAATACCGAATGTAGCTATTATATTAGGGTCTATACGAGGACATGAACCTGCGTAGGTAACATTTGTCATAAGTCATTACAATATTCAAATGCGAAACTCAAAAAAAAATCGGTTATAATGTCGATAAAATCAAAATACCGAATATCGAGAGGTAACGTTATATGGGGGGCGGTGTACCGGTACAGACAATTTTCTGTCGTAGGCTGTAGTATCCATTACGAACTTTAGTTGAAAAATTTGAAACAATTCTGGCGAAAAATGTCGCTAAAATCATTAAAATACCGAATATCGGGAGGTGCCGTTATGTGGGGGCTTTACGAAGAGGTGAACCTGCACAGACAGTTTCCTGTCTTAGGGTGTAGTATCCATTTTGAACTTCAAGTACCAAATTTGAAACAATTCCCGTGAATAATGTCGTTAAAATCATCAAAATATCGAATATCGGGAGGTACCGTTATATGGGGGCTATACGAAGACATGGACTTGCACAGACAATTTTCTATCTTAAGGTGAAGTATCCATTTGGAACTTCAAATACCAAATTTAAAACAATTCCGGTGAATAATGTCGCTAAAATCATCAAAATACCGAATATCGGGAGGTACTGTTATACGGGGGCTATACGAAGACGTGGACCTGCACAGACAATTTTCTGTCTTCGGGTGTAGTATCCATTTTGAACTTCAAGTACCAAATTTGAAACAACTCCGGTGAATAAATTCGCTAAAATCATCAAAATACCGAATATCGGGAGGTACCGTTATATGGGGGCTATACGAAGACATGGACTTGCACAGACAATTTTCTGTCTTAGGGTGTAGTATCCATTTTGAACTTCAAGTACCAAATTTGAAACAACTCCGGTGAATAAATTCGCTAAAATCATCAAAATACCGAATATAGGGAGGTACCGTTATATGGGGGCTATATGAAGACCTGGACCCGCACAGACAGTTTTCTGTCTTAGGGTGTAGTATTCATTTTGAACTTCAAGTACCAAATTTGAAACAATTCCCGTGAATAATGTCGTTAAAATCATCAAAATACCGAATATCGGGAGGTACTGTTATATGGGGGCTATACGAAGACGTGGACCTGCACAGACAATTTTCTGTCTTAGGGTGTAGTATCCATTTTGAACTTCAAGTACCAAATTTGAAACAACTCCGGTGAATAAATTCGCTAAAATCATCAAAATACCGAATATAGGGAGGTACTGATATATGGGGCCTATACGAAGACCTGGACCCGCACAGACAGTTTTCTGTCTTAGGGTGTAGTATTCATTTGGAACTTCAAGTACCAAATTTGAAACAATTCCCGTGAATAATGTCGTTAAAATCATCAAAATACCGAATATCGGGAGGTACCGTTATATGGGGGCTATACGAAGACATGGACTTGCACAGACAATTTTCTATCTTAGGTTGAAGTATCCATTTTCAACTTCAAGTACCAAATTAGAAACAACTCCGGTGAATAAATTCGCTAAAATCATCAAAATACCGAATATAGGGAGGTACCGTTATATGGGGGCTATATGAAGACCTGGACCCGCACAGACAGTTTTCTGTCTTAGGGTGTAGTATTCATTTTGAACTTCAAGTACCAAATTTGAAACAATTCCCGAGAATAATGTCGTTAAAATCATCAAAATACCGAATATCGGGAGGTACTGTTATATGGGGGCTATACGAAGACGTGGACCTGCACAGACAGTTTTCTGTCTTAGGGTGTAGTATCCATTTTGAACTTCAAGTACCAAATTTGAAACAACTCCGGTGAATAAATTCGCTAAAATCATCAAAATACCGAATATAGGGAGGTACTGATATATGGGGCCTATACGAAGACCTGGACCCGCACAGACAGTTTTCTGTCTTAGGGTGTAGTATTCATTTGGAACTTCAAGTACCAAATTTGAAACAATTCCCGTGAATAATGTCGTTAAAATCATCAAAATACCGAATATCGGGAGGTACCGTTATATGGGGGCTATACGAAGACATGGACTTGCACAGACAATTTTCTGTCTTAGGGTGAAGTATCCATTTGGAACTTCAAATACCAAATTTGAAACAATTCCGGTGAATAATGTCGCTAAAATCATCAAAATACCGAATATAGGGAGGTACCGTTATATGGGGGCTATATGAAAACGTGGACCTACATGGCCCATTTACGAACTTAACCTGCCTACTGGAAAAATAAACATGTGTGCAAAATTGTAGCCATCTATCTCAATTCGTTCGAAAGATAGCGTGATTACAACAGACAGACAGACAGACGGACAGACAGACAGACGGACATCGCTAAATCACCTCAGAATTTTACGCTGATCAAGAATATATACACTTTGTTGGGTCTGACATTAGTATTTCGAGGAGTTACAAACGGAATGACAAAGTTGATATACCCTCCATAGTATGGTGGAGGGTATAATAATCTATAAATATTTTTTGAATATGGAGAGTAACGACTGAATATTTTCCATTTCGTATCGGACTTAAATAATTATGGACTGAAATATTCCGTTTTCACAGCAGATCTTATGTTAGTAGAAATGTTTTAAAATATGAGGAGAACCGGATGCTTATTTCGGATTTTATAACATTGTTGGTTATTCAAAACTTTGACCCTTTGTGGGTGAGGCATCAGAAGAAATGGTCCGATCTGTATCATCTTTATAATACACCTTGTGTTGATGGAAATATGGAGATATACCAAGTCTAAATGAAATCGGATGATAATTTGGCATTTTATGAGCTCTAAGGGTATTTAAAATTTTGACCCTTTTTGTGGGTTAGGTACCAGAAGGAGTTGAGTGGATACATCCCAACTTCATAGCAGATCTTGTGTTAGTAGAAATAATGGGATGTGTGAAATATGAAGAGAACCGGACGCTTATTTCGTATTTTATAGTCGTTTAGGTTAATCAAAATTTTGTCCCTCTATGGGGGAGGTACAAGAAGGGTATATTCTATCTTCATAAAAATATTGTGATGTGTGTAATTTGAAGATAATCAAACACTAACATCACATTTTTTAAGAGTTATAATTATTCTAAATTTTGACTCTTTGTGGGCAAGGACCATTTTCTCACCCGACTTAGCACTGATGGCAATATTAGAATTCGCAAAGTTGGAGCAAAACCGGAATATCTTTTCCCTTTCTGTGCAATAAATTATTTTCTTTGAAAGTTTTGACATTTTGAGTGGAAGGTACCAGAAGGAGTGGACCGATATTGCCCATCTCCGAACTCGTGCTAAGTTTGACCATAATATTACAATGTACCCAGTTTGGATCAAATCGGATACTCCCTTCGAGAGTTATCGTGTGCAGCCAGACAGACGGACAGATATCGTTAGATTGACTTTAAATGTCCTAAAACTAATTTGGTCCGATGAGATCTAGGGTCTAAAATCGTTATTTCGATATGAGACGTTTTGGCCGTATCAAACGTTATATACCCCCTTTAGCCATAATGGCGAGGGCATAAACAATATTCCATGTTCCGCTAATTTTTATATGAAAATGAAAAATCCTTGTTTTTTGGCAACATTAAAAGAATAAAAAATGAATTTACCAATTTAATAATAAATTCACGAACATATAGTTCTGTATATCCTTCAGACAATATTTAGGAAAATATCGAAATGTACCTAAAAATTCTCAAAAACTCTCAAATCAAAAAAAAAAAAAAAAATTCAAAATATTCTTTAATAAAAATAAAATACTTCCTCTAGAAAGCATAAAGGAGGACATATACCAATAAAGGACTTCTATGGAAAATGGAATAACTTTTGTTTACAATAGAAACCCTTGGGTTTCGCCATTGCCAGTAGAGATTCTTTAAGGTTCCCTAATGTCAAAAAAAAAAATCTTTAAAACCTTCTATGGATAACGGAAGCCCTTAAAAGCCGCTTATCTGCAATATAAGCTCCTTGAGGTCTCTATTAGCAAAATATTCCCTTTATGACCTTCAATTTGCAAAAGACTTTTATGGAAAATAGAATGACTTCTGTAGACAATAGGGTTCCACCATTGGTAATAGGGATCCTAATGCCAAAAAATCCTTTGTAGCCCTTAAAGGCCGCTTATCTTCAATAGAAGTTCCTTGAGGTGTCTATTAGCCAAAGATTCCTTTTATGGTCTCCTATTTACAATTTATTCCCCTAGGACTTCCTTAAACTTTTCTTCCACACATTAGCTCCTCTGTGGCTACAATTTCCACATACTTATCGCCTCAAAATTAAGACATGTCTCGGAAA